GGGGTATTGTCCTCAGTTTGTCATTTTTAACAACAGCAAGACAGATTCTACTGCTGTCTATCAGTCACTTCTTTTCGTCTGTTTGAAAGGTAGTAGCCAAAATGACAAAATGAAAGTCCTTTGTCTTTAATTGTATTAAACTTTTATGTGTATGAATAAATATTGTATATTTATATATATATATATATGAGAGGATAAAATACTTTTTTAAATTTCAAAATAAGCTTTCATGATTTGATGTTAGTTCTTTATAAGTGGCGATGTTTTGTTGAAGATAGGTACGGACGGAAGTAGCAGTTTTCTATTTCCATCATAATTGCACTGTATTGGTTGGGATATTACGATAGGTAGTATCTGAATTGTGAAATACATGGCGTATGCGTGGTCCGTCTCTCGTACACAAAACGGAGCTCTGATTCTTTTTGGCTATGCTTCGCTCAAAATTCTTATTACTTGACGCGTTTTATAAGAATTTGATGCTAATAATAAACCGACCTTGTACACTGTAACTATGCAGACCTTTTATTAAACCAAATTAAACTACACGGAAATTGCACAACTTTGGACTTCGCCAAAATCTATACCTTCCTTCAGGGTCTGTGAATATTTATTGAAAAAATCAATCTGCGACCCTGTTAGAGGGTTACAAGCTTATTATTTTTTTTTTTAATTAAAGAATTACAACAGGATTTGACAAAACGATTCAAAGCGTGACCTTCCACTGAGGCTCGGGGTTCAACCAAACTTTCACCTTCTCAATAAAGAAATAGAACAAATATTGGTACAGTAACACTGCACGTAGCCCTCCACATTGTGATGAAATCTATAAAACATCAAAAATATATGTCTCCAGATTTTGGAACAATTACGTCTCGTATCGATTTTCAAATGACGACCGAAATGTTGTTCACCCTTGATTGCACGCATGCTGACTTAAGAGATCGACAAAGCCACTTCCAATATACTTCGTCATTTATTGTTAATGGTATTATTCAATTTACGCGGCTATAGTTACTGCTGTTTACTTCTCAATCTTCTCAATATATTATTTATTAAAATGTCAGGACCTGTGCAATAACAAATGACGAAGATATTGAAACGCGTGCCCTCTCTGGCGCTACCGAGGCCGGGACGTTTGTTCGGGATCGGGGTAAATTTTGCGCTCCCGTGGGAAAATATATCTCAGGCTAATGGCAAGAGTGGATTTCTGCTCAAATATTTATTGGAAACAAAAAATAAAATATAAATGAAAATGTTCCAATGAATTAAAGTTATGCAAGCACTTTTGAATACTGAGTCTCTGATATTGGCATATCTATAAGTCTTAGACCATTGTTCTGGTCGCAAAGTTTTCATAATGTTTCTCTGCTGTTTACATCTCAATAAATAAAATGTCAGGACCTGTGCAATAAACAAGTGGCGAAGATATTATCTCTGCACTTGGTAACGTGTTTCTGAAGTAACGAAATGCTAAATAATCAACATCGAAGCCTGTAATTAGCTTCTCAATCCACTGGCCACCAGAACTATATGTAGCCTGTGTTAGAAAAGTCGCAGCCTGACTGAAGACCAATAAGAAAGAAGATAAAATTTTAAGAAATATGCCAAATGACCTTTAAAAGCCCCTAAACTAATAACTGTGGAATTTTTATGTACAGACAAAATTGCAGCAGTGTCTATGCATATGGCCGTCGACTGCGCAGTTTTCGCATTTCTTCTTATCTGCTATCACTTGGGGGGATCGCGGGAATTTTGACATTGCTTTAAAATACATGTCAAGATCAAAAATTTCATCATTTTGGCTTGGTGAACCCTATATCATCCAAAAGCCAGTTTCAACCGGCTTGTTTTTTCCGATACCAGTTTCACCGACCATTTGTGATTAACTTGTAGGTTATCACATGTCTCAGATCGGCTATACATTTGAAGTGGCAATTCATTTCATATAGTAATTGCCTTGTTCGGCTTTATTCCCATTCAATCAAATGTAATAAATTATCCTTGAGACTGCCAACAGCTAACCCATAGACACAAGAACCTCAATCACAATATTTAGAAAGGAAATCGCCTCAAACTCAGGCCCTACTGCAAGAGTAACGGCAGTTAATACATTAATATTGTATTCTTTGGGGATGTAATGAAATATTTTCGTTTCCATGCACTGGTCGATTGATCGTTCTTACTACTGTTGTTGTTGCCCATTTATCGATTACATCACAACGAATGCTGAAAGACCGCAATACAAAGTCCCTTTTACCACAGTGAATATTGATCGATCATTTCTTCTGCTCTTTTTGCATACTGATCTGCTAATTGACGAAACTGTAACAATAGATATATTGATAATATCGACCTGTTAACAATTGGTGGGCCTAGTAATGAAGCCGGGAGCGAGTAGAGAAATATTTGGAAAATATTTTGTAGGTTTACTGAAGACAACAAAAGCATAGGTAGGGGTTTGTATACCCCTGCTAAACGCACCTGTATTTGCTTGTATCACAAAACCATGAGAGTTCGATTTAACCTTTGACGTCCCGATCTGCTCTTGAGACTAAGTGTAAATTGACAAAGGATATTGCAAATGGTTTCTATTTTAACATTCTAACTTCAAAATACAAGGTGCCAGGCCCACATTTGAATGGATTCATGTTTAGTAATACCAGAAGCACTTGGCTACATAAACGGTTATTTTCTTTATCCTAAGAAGCGCATTAAAATTTGCCTATAAAATGTGCTTTTTATTCGCAAAATGTCCTATAGAGAGGACCGATTATTATCTAAAAATTCAGGAAATTTATATACATATGAAATATATTTGATCATATTATTTACATGTCATAAATATGCACATAATTATATAACATATATCATAATGAAGCAATAAGTAAAAAATGTTAAAATATTGATCAGGAAGAAGTCTAGAGTATTTAATCTTTTCCGTTCACCACGCAGTGCGTTTGTCATAAAACTAAACATTGGAATACAGTCATTTACGAATTACATAATTTATTTCGGTTTTGACATTATCTAAGCAGACCTTCAGCAACTTCAGCTTGTCATTTCTATCTACATGTTTACCATTAGAGTGTGAAGATGATGGATGGACTGACATAAACTGCCCCCAGGTGCTTACTGGGAGCAACCAGGTGCAACAGGTTTCGTATTTATTACAATCAGAAAATATTATATAGCACTGGTCTATATATTTGATACACGTAATATGCTTGTTTTAGAACATTTTCAGTAGTGTCCACGAGATCCCGACCATTGTTTTAACAAGCCACTTCGGTAAAAGATTTACTTTGTCGCCCAAAGTGGCAAATCATGAGCGATTATTTCCCCTTGTTCGATCATTGATCCACCTGTTGTCGATCAGCATACAAGTAAATGTCACGATAGCGTGGCGGTATCGATTATAGACATGAATTATTAAAGATGCAGCACACTTAATCCATATTATACCCCGTGTTATGAGCCCTCCTTGGCGGTAGAGGCTGACAATACAAACTTATTTGATGGCATGGAAACAATATCCAAAACAAACTCACCTGTGTCGTTTATAAGAGCATATCCGCGCTCCGGTGGCACAACTAGAGACGTTTTACAAGAAGAAACAGCTAGGAGCAACAGATATACTTATTTGCTGTCACCAAACCAGTGCACTTGAAGAAAAAGATAGAAAGAGCACAAGAGAATAGCTCCAAGTTTGCTAACCGTGGTAAGTAATTCTCAGTTTCCGCATAGATGTTTATTGCAATTATCTTGAGCTTTATATCTCGTTAAACAGCTCATCGTGTATTTAAACATGTTTTTATATCCAATTTGGCTGTCAATGGTCAGCGTTTTAAAACATTAACTCGGTAACTCCCAATTAAGCATTAAGTGTTTTTTCAGAACATTCAAATTATTGCTAAAGCGCCGCATCAAATAGAAACGTTCAATCAACCACTTGTCAAGAAAATAGACCCAAAGAAGACGGTACTTTGTGAAGTATCCGATGTACAATTCTTAAGCCATCCTCTGCAAACCTTTTTTTTTTTTTTTTTTTTGCTCACAATTTATGGTTCACAATTTATGGTTCACAATAAAAAGTAAATTGAAACATTTCTGGAAAGTTTCTTCGCTTTTTTTTCTCTACAAAAATTTAATGGCTAATGAAAATCTTGCCTTGATCAGATCAATGAATCACAGGTTTATTGATCAAAACGTCTTAGCAACTTTGTTTTCGTGACCAGGGTATTTGCTACAGCTTTTGTTATCGATGTATTGATCTTAACATAAAAAACGTTGTCATAGTGAAGTGTGAGAATAAAAATCAACATAACGACGTAGGAGACAAAATTAAGAAAAGAAATCAGGAAGAGAGATCAATACATTCGAAACCTAGCTACAGTAATATGAAACTACAGAATTACACTTTTTGGGGCTAAACACCATAATAAAGCATTTATCGCCTTAAGCTTTTAATAATGTAATTTTGTGATTGAGTAAATAAAGCTTTAGCAAGTTTGTAAGTTTTAATACTTCACGACAATTTACATTACCTCGTACTTTTATGATTATTTACTGAGAGATAGAGAGACTAAGAAACAGACTTTTGTGTTTATGCTTTAAGCAAACAACTTGATGTCCATAACGTGTCCTCATTTTATTTTCGCAGCACTACAAACATGATGAAGGTCCTGTTATTGACGCTCTGTGTCGTCCTTCTCACCCGTGACGTCAGGTCACAATCTTCCAGTGATTCTTCTTCTGCTGCTGCCTCTGCAAGTTCTAACAGCGCCGCCGCATCATCTTCAGCAGCCGCATCATCTTCAGCAGCCGCATCAAGTGCGTCCGCCGCCGCCTCCTCTGCCGCCGCTTCCTCCTCGGCGGCCGCTTCGTCATCTGCTGCTGCCGCCTCCTCATCAGCTGCAGCTTCATCGTCAGCAGTCGCAGCATCCAGCGCTGGCGCATCCTCATCCGCGAATGCCGCAGCGACGTCCTCAGCCAGTGCTGCTGCAGCCACTACATCAGCTGCTGCTGCATCATCAGCGGGCGGTGGTGCTGCTACCACCGTGACCAATACGGCCACCTCTGCTGCCAGTTCATCGAGCTCATCTGCCTCTTCTTCTGTACGTATTCATTGTTATTATTTCCCCAAAACAAAAATATACGTGAAAAGATGTGACATAAAAGTGTGACATGAAAATGACATAATTTGTCCTTTTCATTCCATCCTATTGTTAAATATCAGTTCATTTATTCACATTCGGTTTTTAGGCAGGTCGCAGAATCACGCGAAATTGGCCGAAAAATTATCTAATCTCGTTTTTTGTTGATGGTTACACACATGTATTTTGTTATTACACTTTGTACAAGACAGATTTTTAAACAGGTTATATATTAATGAAATAATGACAACGAGGATGCATTATAAGAAGATTACAATACACACAGCACACTAACGATGCCATGTTTTTTCTTACAGGGAGGTGTTAGCTGTAAATCCTGCGACCCAGGCACTGGAGTGGACTGTAAAGTGGAAGCTAACCAAAACACCACTACGTGTGCAAGCAGTGACTGCTTTGTAAGTATTTGTTTAGTCTTTTAAGGGGGTGTTTTCATTCAGAAAAACCTCGACGTTTTCTACATCGATGTTATTGTTGTTCAAGTAAACTAAAAAAGTTTCCGGTTTTTAAAAAATTATAATGGCCGTGTTCCCGCATATATGGTTTTAAAAAAACATTGCATTTTGCATTTTGATTACACTGCCATAACAAAATTAACTGATCATGAACTATTTTTTATTTGCAGTTCGTTCACTATTACACGAGTAACGGCACAGACGGATATGCCTTTGGCTGCGCCGATGATGTCAAGACTTACATGGGACTGACCACGAGAGCAACCTGCAGCGATTACACGACTACAAGCGGTATGTCCGTGTCCACGGCCGGCGCGGCGATCTGCCGTTTTAACGCCAAATGCTGCTCTACCGCCAACTGCAACGCCGCAGAAGATCTCGGCAGCAACTCCTGCTCAGACAGTGGAGCTGAATCGATTTTCATCTCATGCACTCTACTATTTATTTCGCTGATTGCTGCATTGTTGCGGTAATTTGGTGATCTATCGCCTGAACTCGCCTTTTTTCCATTCCATTCAACTGTACACTTCCTCAAACGTATGCCTAATGCGTTTCTATATTGTTGGGAGATTATGCGATTTAACTTTTTCTCATTGCCAAATATACCAAACCGTGGACGTTTTAGTCAAGGACAACTTTAACTGTTAGTGACACTTTTTCTCAACTGACAAATTGAAATTGCCTTCTGGTTATTAAAGACTATTATCTTATGCATCGCTGTGATAACTATGTTCTATAGACATTAAGACGCATTGATGCAGCAAGTGCCTTAATGATGTCTGGCAATGAGGAGGATGAACAAAAGCACAGTCTATGATGTTGGAAAGTGAATAACGACAGAGTGATACGTATTTGGCCGGAAGGCCTTTGCGACTTATGACGTCATTACCGCCAACTGACGACCGCGCAGCATGATTCCTCTAAATGCGTAACAGACAGATAGGCGGCGCTTGCAGCAACGCAAATGTGTCACAAACTGAGACCACGTCTCCAGACAGATGAAGTATTGCCAAAAGTGTTGTCAAAGCAACGACGTTAAGCTTACAAGTCATCTGTATATTTTTCTACATTACAAGTACATCAGAATGTTTAAACATGTTTTTATAAAATATATATTTATACACTTGTATCTTATTAAAAGAAAATAAAAATGCAGTGCGCTTGAAACATACATTTCCTCTGAAGTCTCTTGTCTCCAAAAAATCAATAATAAGAATAATCTATTTCTCAAAAAAGCGGAGCACATGTCACAGCGCCGTTTAAATATAGAATCATTAAAAATTTTATGAAAACTTAAAGCTTAAGAGATATAAATTAAAGTATTCCTGAAATGATAAAGGTGTTAAAAATTTTCTCAAAACATTTCCTTTTTGAAAAGCTTAGATTCGAATGAAGATCCAAACTAAAACTACTGATACTGTTAAATACAGTCAGCGTATGTTAGATATTTATACAACAAAATATAATTTTTCTGGGGCTTTCAACAATTTTCCCTTAAACTCCAAGATATACCCATCCAAAACCGTAAAGGAAATAGGAAATATCATCTGGACCGGGTTTAATTCAGGAAATGGGTATACTGACATATACTGTAGGTAGGTTGTAAGTGTTTCCTGGGTAAGTATGAAAAGAGGTAGTCTATTCTGAAAGTCACAATGTAACAATGGGGAAATGCATTGAAAAAACGTTCATAATACGAGTTCATATGACGGAAACCGCATAGTTACGCGTTAGAAAAGAAAAAAAGTGGTTAATAACGGCTTGCGCTTTATAATATTCAACTCTTTGTTGGCGTTTATCGATTCTATTATTTTTCTGCCTTAATTCCGTAACAATAACTTTTATTCCCTTAACAATGCTGATTTGTTGCAACATTTTTTCCAATATCATGATGCATCAGACAGAATCTCTGGAATCTCACAAAATTCTCTCAGAGACAGACTCCCACAACTTTCCACTCTAAGCTATTTGTCAATCTATCAACATTCCCTTATTTGATGATGGTGTGATGTTTTGCCCTCTTACATAATATCTCTTATTTATCATTTTCCATTACCCTCCGTTATCAGCTATCAATCAATTTATTGCAATTGTCTAATTAGGTAACACTGTGCTAGTTGAACTAAGTTCACAACTGATCATACAGATTTTTCATTACCTATTCATGATACTGTAGAATAATAACTAATCTTTACTTGTTGCTAAATATCCAGTACAATCCACTTTCAAAATATACACAGAATATATATGTAGCTAGGGCCTCGAATGGCGACTCTATTACTTATAATGAATCACCTGTAAAGGAAAAATTAATACGTACTTGTTTGGGTCTGTCAGAGAGGAACCACTACCAATAGCAGTAATGGTGTTATGAATTCTTCAGTAGTCTTTGATTGATTGTTGTCCACTACTTATATTAATTCAGAGTGATTCGATAAGGAAACAAGTGAGGACAAATTGGCAGAGGTAGCACTAGTTAATGACAGCTTAGCAAAATCTTGGACAGGAAGGAAACCCATTTAGTCTGTCGATTAAATTGCTTTTACAATGAAAACCTTGTTATCCACCATTCATCATGCTCATGAGGGCGGTCACACTTTAAATGATCGATTCCAAACTAATCCAACCCACCAAAGCTATTTTTGCAATGGTGTGTCACACCACCGAGTTGCTGTTGTTCTGTTTTCTCTGTCAAACGTTTGGGCAAAGACTCACCAATGTTTACAAGAAAACGCAAGGCATGCGCGCCCAGACCACTAACGTGAATCTTTTTCACAGCCCGACACTGGAGGATTGCATAATTCATTGCACACTGCACAGCGCAACTTGTAATTCACTTAACTTCAAGGAATCTGACGGAACCTGTGAGACATTATCGGAACACAACGAAGCGACATCAGTGGATTCTGACTGGGTGTTTCTCATTTTGCAAGGTATTTGACTAGATCTGTTCTTAATTAAATAAGATGATGAATCGAAGTGGTACCATGCATTGCGTATTTCATACGTATTTCATAGATTGATGGATGGATAGATAAATGGATAGGTAGATCTGAATTTATCAACTATAGTCTAAAAAAGTCCATGGGCTCTGACTGCCAAGCTGACAAACACTTAATTGTTTATGTCTATCTATCTATCTGTATATCTCTCAATCTAGGAACGTTTGGCTTGGAGTGATAGGCCCTAATGCGAGTATTTGATTTATGAAAATGTATAAATTTCAACTATTAAATATAATTTGACATCACTTCTTTAAAGCTAAATCATCCTGTGCAGACTGGAAAAACAAGCAATTGCAGTCTCCAAGTGGTACCTATATTGTGGACCCCGACGGCCCCGGAGGGGTGACACCTTTTCCAGTGGAATGCGACATGATAACCACGCCACCTACAGTCAGGGTGAACCACAACCAAATCACTAGGAAGCACATTGTAGGATATGAAGATCCAAATTTTTACGAACATCAGCTCGTTTACAACGGTGAGTTGGCAGAATTCAATGCATGGTTTTATACAGAACCACATGCCAGGTGGTTTTCCTCGTAAATAGTGTTCTCATTTGGTTCGACTGAAAGTTTTTACAGCTCGTGTGTACAGTGAAATGTGCATTCAATCAGATCATTAAGCCGAGGTTTCTTATTTTCTTATTGTTATTCCTATATTCATACTTATACATGAGCAGAGTTTTCTCACAACAGTGTAGCTACAAGTAGGTCAGGGATGGTACATTGCTTGTTTTTCTCGTTTCCTATGCCCTTAAATGCATCTTCAATTATCATAAAATTTATAGTACACAAAGAAGTTTACCGTAGAGCTAGGTTAGGGATGGTACATTACTTTTTTTTTCTCGTTCCCTATGCCATGCTTTCTAATTTTAAAGGGGGCGCATGAGTCTCAGAAGCTATAGGAAGGGCAAGTATCCCACTGGATTCCCCGTTGCTTTTGTCCATCAGTAATTGTATCTCAAAGTGACCCCAAATATGTCACATACATTTCATTTTCTTCCTGGCCAGGTGTAACTAACCCCCAGCTTCGCGCTTTGGCCACTGCTTCATCCACATGCAGGCAGTACGTTAAAAAGGAATGCTACAATGCTTGCACCTTTTACTATGGAACAAAATGTGACTTTTGGACCACACTTGAAGGAGAACAGTTGGAGTATTGGGCGGGCAACGGTACTACCGTCACCAGGGGCTGCGCATGCGCTCTTTCTGATACCTGTGCATTGGGTATGGCTGGTTGAAATGTGCTTTTTTTTTTTTTTTAAATATTAACACGCGATATAATCAATTAGTATGTGAAATCTCAAACAGTCTTCGGTATCTTTTTTTCATTATAAATACACCGTCTTTAAAAAAGAAATGACAAATACCTTCCTTTCTCGGTATGTTAACATATCTCTATTATTGATAATCTAACTAGTGATTGGTTTTATGTTATAATTTGGCTGTTTTATCTAGAATCTTAATCTCTCTTGATAATTATTAATTTAATATATCTTGCTAATTGTATTCTTAGTTTCTTGTTTTTATGTAAAATCTACTAAACATTTAAAATGGATTTCAGACTTAAAATAAATGTGTTGTTATTATTATTATTAATGTACCGCAGGTATATTAATACATTGTTGTCTACCATGCCAATTAAATCATTTTCTCCCAAAGAAAAAAATTATATACATATGTAGCCTTACTCATATATTTGTGTGTTCCAGGCGAACCCTGCAACTGTGACGCCAACGATAACCGTTGGAGAACAGATGAAGGATACTTGACAGCAAAAGAGCATCTTCCCATCTCTGCTGTCATGATCGGGGACACAGGGAAAAGCGTCGAGCAGGTGTACATTACCGTGGGACCTTTGGAGTGCACACCTTAACCCGGCTTTCTTGTACGCTGTGAGGCCTTTTCGGTGCACAACAGCGGACTAACAAGTCCGCAGAACAAATATGGCCACCCACTTCAGAGCTTGCCGTCTAATCCCCTAAAAGACATTGAATTCCAGTGGGAAATACGCAACAAGCATTCAAGCGGGACGGCCATATTAGATCCGCGGACTAGTTGGTCCATTGTTATGAATGCGACCTTACGTGATAAAAAGGCCCCACACCCTTTTAGAAAGGTTGCCATTGGATGATCGTCACCTCTCATCATTGTCAGATGATACCGTTTTTAGCCTTTACTAAAATGTTTACTTCAATCTTTACAGAACGTAGACCGTTTGAGTGAGAGAAGGGTAGCGCAATGCTCTAGATAACATTTGTGTACGCTTTTGAAAACAGCGTCATTATTAAAGGTTTCGTACATTACCACATCACGCACTATTGTTAAATCAAACATAGTTGTCACAGGTAACGGTGTCTATAATTACTCAAATAAGACGTTCTTTACTTAAAGCCTCAAACTCATTATTATCAGGTTGGATCAATTGGACGCACATTTTACAGAACCAATCGAAGTCAATGGACTGTATGTAAACATTTATTCCATACGTGATTTGTGGCTATTAGTCGAAAGAGCAATAAATGTGCCGCTTTTTTTACGTTATATCTGTAATACCTTGGAATTTAGACATCGGTGAAAGAGTAGAAAGACGGGAACTGGAAAAAATATTTCTACCTACGTGTTCCTGCGAAGTCTAATTTCTTTAGTAGACATTCATTCAAAGAAATGCGTACAATCCTAGGTAGGTAGTGTATGTGTCTGAAAGAATATTGCAATCGCGAAGTTAATATGGAACATGTTCTCCTCTATAGTAGCGATTATTTCCAGCATTATACATAAAATATTATATGCTCAATTTTTAAAGATTAAACAGCTAGATTGACATGTACTGCAAAATTAACCATGCGCGTTTACTTAAAACGCAATCTTTGATTATGGAACAACTATAGCATTTTGTCCAAGTAGCACAGAAAAAAACCTGTTTGCAGTTAATACACAGGCATATATGAATAATGTTGCAGTGCACAGTAAATTGGATTAACAAGAACAGCGTAAAGGTCTTGTTTGGTCTTCAATGTAATTTTTTAATGAAAAGATCACGCCCTCTTTTACCAAATCGATATTTAATGAATGTATAATGTTGTGACAAGACATCTTTATGTTCTGGCACAAATTAATATAGAGATGATTTAGAGAACAATCTTTAGGTTGGGTGCTGGGTGTTGTCGTAAAATATAGAAGTTTTACAAATTAAGCGCACACTTACTTCAATAAGGGGATTCCAGTTCAATATGTTATACTTGGTTTGACATGTTCGTCTTATATTGACACAATGCGTGCGCAGTTCTTACAGTTTGGGCACAATGTTACAAGACCGTAGAATTAAGATGCCATTTTTTTTACTTAATACCATCCAATTAAATGGTTATGTCCAATCCATTTTAAACTGAATTGCAAATCTATTTTTAAGATATAAAAAGGAATCCCATCCTAGGAACTGCAGTGCCGAAATGAATGTTTTTCTAATTGCTTTCTCTTGCGTAAGTAGAATAAAATCCCATTGCACAATAAAACATATTCTCTACATTTTTCTCGCCACTTTGTTGTATAAGGTGACATCGCTGAAAATTTAATCCCACCTCACACCGTTAGGCTATCTCAAACGAATTTAATGAAATAATTTAAGTGTTGTCTACACGTAGGCTATACATGTATTTACTAAAACGTTCGTTGTTTATTATCATTCGTTCAACAATTAATTTTGAGCTTTGCTATAAAAACGTTAAACGTATGTACACAACTTATCATCTGGTGTTTGCTTTGGCTTAAAATTAAAGCAGGAAGTATAATTGCATAAACTAGTTATTGGACATACAGAGCTGAGGGTGACGCACATGGATTCTATAAATAGAGTTTTCAAGATATTCCTGGTGTATTGATGTCGAAAGTCCACCAAATTAAGATTAAATGAAAATATCCAATAGCAGACGATTGCGACGCTGCTTGTGTATTTCACAGTAGAGAAAATAACATCATGGAAACAAGAACATTAAGGATGCTGTTTTTATTATATGTTTTGCAAAGATCTACGACAAAGAGTAAGACAACTTCATAATTTCTTTTTAAAAGCTGATAATTGTCAAAGCAAAATATGCGGATCCTTATATCCCAAAAATTGTGTTTTGCACTTTATACAGTAGTTAAATTATCTTCAAAGGCAAATGTATTTTAGGTGCATTTAAATTTCATAATTCTGAATTTTATGTTTTAATAGTGGTGGACATTGTTTTGCTTGTGGATGTATCTGATAGCATGGCCGTTGATGGCTTAGAGAAAGTTAAACAGTTCATGGTGGACATGGTGAACGCCTCCTTCAATGTCAGTTCACATAGTGTACTTGTAGGTGTCGTCACTTTTGGAAGCTTACCAAAAAATCAGTTAACTTTAAGAAATAGCCCACTGAAAACAAATGTCCTGTTCTACATTGACGGCATACAGCACCGCGGTGGAAAACCCAACACCGACTTAGGATTAGACTGGGTGAGAAGACGTTTAAACAATTCTCAAGTATTTGGAGGTAGAAAAAACGTTCCAAAAATCGTCGTCGTTGTAACGGCTGGAACTTCAGCAAACCGATCTCAAACTATAAATCAAGCCAAATTATTGACAAATCAAGGCATCGAAATTTTCGTTCTTGGAATTGGAAACTTGACTGATGAGTACGAGCTGGGGGCAATGGCAAGCGATCCAGACCGCAGCCATTTGTGCATGGTGGACAGTTTCGACGACCTCGACGACTTTGGCCCAAGGACGATTGGTGAAAAAATTATAAGAATACAACAACAAAATATCAAAGGTATGTTCCAAACAAGTCAAATCTGAAAGCATTTAACAGTGGCATGAGGGGATGTCAAATACTGTATATGCCGTATTTCAACGTGCTTTGATTTAAGTTATTATTCTGTTGCTACTATAATTATTAAAGGAAGATAAATTGTCTATTGGATTAATATTCTGGATATATAAAACACTTTGCAAATGATCCCACTCTTCAAAAGTTGGTTGTCAGTGTCAATACGATATATTTGCTATATGCAGATGTAGTGTCACCTTTCATTTCTCCTTCACCTGTGCTTTCAGGGTTTTGCATGTATGTCGTTTCAGAAACTCTCCTCTGCCCTAAGGGATTGGGTATAGGTTTCAACATATCAGTGGTTACCTCTTCCGTTTTGGAACGAACAGAAGGTACCAGTTTTTCAATGCACTTTGAGAGCAAATTTCTGAAAAAAAAAATCTCATATGGAGTAACACTGTCAAAAACAGATTTCAATCTTTTCTTGTCCAGTGATAAACCTTAGCCCCAAATTAACCAAACCAACATTTCCTTTTTTTCAGAATTCTTGTTATGGTTACCGACAAAAATTGAATTTTGGTCTATTTTGTTAACTTTAGAGAGCTAGGAAACTTCAGATGGGCAAAGCATGAATTTCAGAAGCACTAATAGACCACAATACGAATAGATAACTTTTGTGGTTGTAGATATTTAAAATTACCAGTCTGACGTTAAGTGCCTATTTACACCCTCTTTGCAAAACGTTTACTACCTTTAAATTGTTTTGACCAACTTTCGGAAAGTATAACAGCTGGCGTGCTACTTTTTGGCTTCATGATGCCAATGGCAGAAAAGACGCATGTGTATCCTACTTTTCCGTGAGATTGCAAGGTGACAATTTATAGAAACTTATTTATTTCCCCCCCAAATATTGCATTTTCACAATAGTTGGTGGTCAAGGTCAACATGATAAAAGTAAAATTAACATATGCAGAGTGACCCTTCGTTTTTCCTAAACCTGTGCCTTTGGGTTTAATGCATGTAATTTTAATTATCATTTTCGTACTGAGTACATACTTAAAATTTACACACCTTTTCATATAGAGGAATCTCAAAGTTAATATCATATTTGATTTTACATTTGTATGTCGTTTCAGCCACTACTCTCTCTTCTAAGGGACTGGCTTCCAATTCTTCCCAATCAAATGATCCCCTTTCAGGTAAGAAATATACAGAAGGTACAGTACTTGCTTCCTTTTTTTCTGGCAGATTTTATGGCATTGGAAATTTGAAAAAACACTTTTCCCACTATATACTTTGTAGTGTACTTATTCGTACAATCGTAGGTTTGACATTCCGGCGTGATTGTTTTAAGAAGGGTCAACGTCAAGGTGCACTGCATTCTGGGAATGATTTTAGCTGAAAATGGCAACTTACACGGAAGGAGGAGTTCCGGTTATTTCTATTCATTTATAACGGAATAAAAACAAAAATGTACAACCATATTTTTTATTCAGAACAGTAGGAAATATTTACATATGTGTGTGTAACGAACTCAAAAGCGCGTCCCTGGTCTTTTTCTTTAAGCTTTCTTGGTGTTTCACATCAGACGTTGGATGTCGATTTTGCTACCGCAATGCGAACCGTTTTTTAATATCATTTAAAAACATTTTTTTTTTTTTTTTGCAGGTCATACTGGAGCAATTGTGGGTGGTGTCCTTGGTGGCTGTGGCGTTGGTTTGTTGGTTACAGGTGTACTGGTTGCTATCCGGGTGTACAAATTAAAGAAAAAACGAATCACACCATATAGTCATACTGAACCTGAAGCATCACAATGAAGACTTTCCTCATTTGTACATTTTAGTCACAGCGGAAGGGTTTTATGCCTTTTTAAATGTAAACTTGCATTCTTAACCTTCGCTGTCTGTACATAGGACGAACCGGTGATATTTTGTACCCAAGTTCTACGTTTAAATTGCTTCCCACTGAGGTAAAGGAGATTGAATATAACAACAGGAGTTTGATTCTTTTTCTCAGTCCTTTAATTCTCTATCTCTCAATCTGAATCTCTCACAATTTCAACTCAGTGTCTTAACTAAAATTGGTTTGATGAAATAATTTAATTAATCTCTGCGCGTGTTTTAACTAGGCTGTGACATATGTTGTACCGTTTTGTTTCTCCACTCTTTCATAAATTTCCTGCACGACTTTGAACATTTGTACATAATTGGTGGTTCCTATGGTGTGATGTTATTTTTCGAAAATTTGTGGAATAACTAACTGTTTTCTAGTTTTTCAAATAGTTGACACTAAAATTCATTAATAAACTTCTATGTTTGATTTTCAACCATTTTATTATTAACGTGTCTTTTATATCAACTATGAATGTAACGTTTATTGTTACATGTACATTAATCCGTATATAAAATTTGTCGCAGTTATGAAAACTGTAAGAAAAAGTATTCTGGATCTGCCCACACACAAACACACACACACACAAACACACACCGTCATATGCTAGCTAATAAATGGAAGGTAACATACTTCTGTGCCATTTTTCCGCTTTTATTACTAAAAAATAAATGCATCTTCAAATTTGATAATAAGACATATAACCATTTCTTATTTATTTCGTCCTTTTGATGATGATTTTGTATTAGATGTTTTATGGTTAGATAAACAAATTTACAAGATTTCTCAGTCATATAAACAAAACAATGTTTCTGCTGCTAACTGCTACTACTGTAAATTTATATTTTCAACGTTACATTTTATACGGTTGAAGCATCAATCTGGATTTCACGTAACAATCATCTGAGAAATTGTCGGCTCCGTGGCCTAATGGATAAGGCGTCTGACTTCGGATCAGAAGATTGAGGGTTCGAGTCCCTTCGGAGTCGATAGAACTATTTTTTGTCCGTTTTACAAATATGTAATCTAACATCCACCAATAAAATGAGTCCAAGTCACGTATACGTATCTGTCAACTGTTTGAGACGCCCAGTGCAAAGTTTCTTATTTACAAGACAATAGGTTTCTTTACAATAAAATACCCCCCCCCCTCAGAATCTACTGATATTAAAACGTTCAACTACATCAAAATAAATTTTCTTTCTAACACAAATAGGCTACAATCCCAAAGTTACGAATTTTTCTCCTTGGTGTAAGCGCGATGCCAAATATCCGACAGGCAGACGGTAGAAAGGAACCGAAAAAAGATCACCATGGGAACAGTGAGGGTAGCCATGATGTTCCAAGGGAGATAGGAATAAAACTCGACGTACAATTTGTTGACATCCTGAACCCTCTCCACGGCAAAAGTATTCACAGACCACATGGCAAAGTTGCAAACGAGAAGAAACGTGACAAGAGCTCGGCCTGGTTTTTTAATTACGTGATCATCGTTGTCAGACCGTCTTCGCATTCCGTCCAGTAGAAACAGTGTCTGACATGAAGACTGCACAAACTCAAGCACTGATGTACACAACGAAAGAAGTATAAACATGTCGAAGCTTGTTAAACTTTGTATGCAGGCAATTATTATGAACATGTGGTACACATATACTCCGCACAACGCAAATGTCAGAAGCACGCCATCAAAATTATCATCCTCTAACTCAATAAACAGCAACACGCGCGTTCTGTAATGTGCGCAAATTAGAACGACGCCTGTGATGAACAGAAGTGACAACTCGCTGATGTAGAAAATATATATCGAGACAGATTTATCCGAAAGTTTCTCATAGAAAACAAAAAACATGCTTATAGCAATAATTGTCCCCACACCAACTAGTATTCCAAAGAAAAGTCCCCGGTTTGACTTGTGGCAAGATGTTCCATCAGCATCATCGGCGAGATCAGGCGAGATGCCGCGAGAATTCAGCTTTGGCGATCTTCCAACCGCTTGGTATATTTTGTACACGATGGCAGCGGCAATGAAACTGTACTGCATTGTGCATGGATATAGGTACGGTGCCGCCAGGTCTGCCAGCGTTCTCTCCGTGTAGCAATTGCCATCTGATGCAGCTGTCATCGGCAAAGATGTGTTTTCCACAGCTGTCAAAGTGAACACACAAAATGCTTGTTAGACATGAGACTTAAAACATGTTAGGCTGGTGTCGCCGGATAACAAACAATATTTGAACTTGTTACTTTATGAAGTAACCGAAAACTAGCAGAACATAAAGGACATTGCACCCAAAAGAATATAAAGAGCCAACAAAGTCAAATTAGCCCCAAAGTATTTTATCTCTGAGTACAAATAACTATATTTTAAATAATGTCTTCAGCTTTTATAGCCAGGCAAATTCGTTGGGATAAACTTGCACAATGGCATCGTTTTTTTTTTTTTTTTTTAATTTTTTTTATTTTTTTATTTATTTATTTATTTATTTTTTTTTTTTTTTGACAACTCACCGAACATGGTACTTCCGGTACCTTGGAGCTTCCCGGTCGTCTGCTGGGTGTAGGTTTCATACCTGTACTCCTGGGCAATTTCGAACACAAGGGCCGAGATCCAGACGCTCACGTTGCTTGCCACCACGTGAATCAGACCAAACCGAACAAAGGCTTTGTGCTTTTTTATCACAAGCTAAAATGGCAAAATTGATAGAGAGTATTATCTGAACTATTAATAACCTTAAACATAGAGCAATGGTTAATAAATCTAGTTTC